AAAAATATGCATAAATGACAGTCATGCTGAAAATGGCTATAAGTATGGGCTGGTTGCCAAAATGTGATCATGTGACCATGGCGGGTTTGCTGGCCATCGGAACTTCGAATCCAAGTTTTGTTTTTTGTTTTTGCTAAGTGACTATTTATAAGTCAAGGACTAACTGTATTCAATTACAGTTTATGGATCACAATATAGATGTAACTTGTAGTTTTAGAATTTGTTTATATCTTCAAGATTGCTGGTGTTTGTTCTTCACTGGTCCTTGACAGTCTTAGAATGCTGAGGTTCCTGTAGATAACCTGACCTCTGAGTGGACATCCCTGATCTTTGGGTGTTCTCCTAAACTTCCCAGTACACAAAGCTGTACAATTTTTTTCTCCAACTCAAACTACCACTTCTCTCTACCTTCCCACTTGAACACCCACTGAATTTTCCATATAAATCCATACAAATCTCTTTGGGTGCCCAAAACTCATGAACTATCAGTTCACTCCAATTACCATGTTTAGGGGAAACAAGGTTCATGGCCAAGATAATGAAGCAAGACATTTTACAATTCTGGAAGAAGATTTATTTGGGATTTTTTCCCCCCAAAATACTGTAGTTCTTGAGGCAGTGTGGCTGACTTTATTCACTTTTACTTTCAGTAGTTTTATACTTGCATTCTGCAGTTGTGAGATCTCTTTTCAAAAACTTTAGCAAAAGTATTTGCTTAAGGAACTTTGCTTTCCTTACTGCTTCCTTTAAGCAAGATGGGGAAAAAAAATCCCTTCCCATAGGAAGACATTCGTTAATCATAGAGCCACTTAGACTGATTCAGTCAGCCAGAAAAAATCAATAGAAATTGCGAGCCAGAGGGAGTCATATATTTGAAATGGGGAGGTATATAAATTGAAATAATAAATAAATAAATTTGACAAGTTGTAGATCTCACCTCTTTGGGCATCTCGTCCATGTCCTCAAGATCCACTACTAGTGGTTTATAAAATATTATTTATGACTTTTAAGATTTAGTGTATCTTTTTATTGATTGGATTTAAAGTATATATTCTAGTGTACTGCAGTGTATGTACGTTTTGTAGGCTTGGAGCATTTTGTGTTATATGTATAATTTTTGTTCCTCTTACTTATTCATTCCCCAGTACTTGGTAATTCAGTAATTTCACCCTGTCACAAGAGGAAATGGGTCTGGTGTAAATACTAAGATGTTCTAAAACAAAGCATTCTTTATGCTCCTTGTGAATCTTTAATACGTTTATTTTAAAGCCATCAAAGAGGAATGCTTGATGAACACCCCCATAATTCAGATCTAGCCATTTGCCATGTCTACCACATTAGTAGAAGTTTATAAATTCTGCCATTACATTGGAATAATGTGGCTGAACTTAATGAAAGTCATGTGGGAGAAAAAGGTAAAAAGGTTCTAGGAAATCAACAAATGTAAGGCTCCTACAACCATCTGTAGAGCAGAAGGCAGTTGTTATATCAGTAATGGCATATACTAATTCTACCAATAAAGAAGAATATTTGTAGCTCCGAGTTGAACTGTGAGGTCCTTGATACTCTCTGGGTTTGGTTGTTTTCTTGCCGACATTTCATTACCCAAACTAATGCACTGATGATGTTACCTAGTTTGGATAATGAAATGTCTACAAGGAAATAACCAAGCTCAGAGAACAGCAAGGACCCCTCATATACTAATTCTAATTCCAATCAGGAATTGTTACTGGGAAAAACCATTGCTTGCAAAATTCTTATACTGGCAAGTATAATCAGGTCATGACAAGCCATTTAATTTCATCAGTGTTTTGCTTTAAAGGTAAAAAAAATGATATTTACTTTGTTTATAAGTATTAATCTCATAAACTAATAGGTATTACAAATGCCCCTCATTGTCTTCTTTAAAGTCTGTTTGTAGTAACAGTTAATCTATGTGCACTTGAATTGATGCCAAAAAAACAGGGTTGACTGTCCTTTGTTTGTTTTATGAAGTCATTCCAATTATATGGAACTATTATTAAAGGTCAATTAAATAATCTTAAGCAATAATAGCATTAAATGCCAGAAAAACCCAGAATAATCAATACGTTCCTTTAATAAGGACATCTTGGCTTCTCTTTTGCAATTGATTACTCTATTAATTAGAGAATGAGTATTTTTTTAATCTAAGGGTATCAGTTAACACCCATTTGAGCAATTGTCCTACTTAGAAAACTGAGGATAGATTTATAAAATCCCATTTACACCAATAGACTGCTGGCTTCCTCAGTTGTCATGATTTGATGAAGAAGAGCTTCTTGTCACGCGCGCGCATGTGTGTGTGTGTGTGTGTGCGCGCACACGCAACATGAGAGATTTGGGATTTATTTCTTTTATTTCTGGTTGAAATTTCTCTTTCTTTCTTTCTTTTTTTCAGTTTGTCACCATCCTGGAAGGTGTGCTGGCCAAGCTATCAAGATATGATGAAGGGACCTTGTTTTCTTCTTTCCTCTCATTTACTGTAAGTTGGTTTGCTGACACTTGGAGTTGGAATAAGCTGGAGCACTCTGGCAATCTTTCCTTGTTATTCCCCGACACGTCTCTGAATATGTAGGGACCTACTGTAAATACAGGTAGTCCTCGACTTACGGCCACAATGGAGCCCAAAATTTCTGTTGCTAAGTGAGACAGTTGTTAAATGAGTTTTACCTCCTTTCACAAACTTTCTTGCCCCAGCTGTTAAGTGAATCACTGCAGTTGCCAAGCTATTGACACAGTTGTTAAGTGAATCTGACTTCCCCGTTGACTTTGCTTGTCAGAAGGTTGGGAAAAGGTGATCGCATGACTCTGGGACACGGCAAATGTCCTAAATATGAACCAGTTGCCCGGTGTCCAAATTTTGATCACATGACCTCAGGGATGCTACAACGGTCGTAAGTGTGAAAAACGGTCACAAGTCCCATTTTCAATGCCGTTGTAACTTTGAACGGTCACTGCTGTATGTCGAGGACTAACTGTTGTGCTCAGAAAATAAGAATTAGAAGATCGTTGGAGGTCAACATTTGCTTTCAGCTATTTCTGATTACCTGGTTAAAAAAAGGGGGGGGCAAGACAGGATGGCTCTCTATTACCCAGGGCCAGCTGGTGATATTTTCATGCCTGGATCAAAAGTCTAGGTGGCATTCTTTCCCTATTCAAGAATGGGACTGGAATAATAGCTGATGTAATAGCATCTTCCATTTTTGAGATGTTTGACTGGCTAAGGAAAGATCACATAGCATACAGGTAGACTTCAATTTATGACCAGAATTGAGTTCCAAATTTCTGTAGCTAAGCAAAACAGTTGTTAAGTGAGCTTTACTGCATTTTACGACCTTTCTTGCCACAGTTGTAAGTGAGTCACTTCAGTTGTTAAGTTAGTAACACGGTTCTTTTTTTTAAAAAAAAATAAATTTTTATTGATTTTTCATTGAAAAACAAAAACATAAATCTTTTATAACAAAACCAAAAAAAAATCAACACCAATCAATACATTCACGGACATGTCCGGTGTCCCCCTTCTGCACCACCCTCTCACTTGCCTACACCTTCCTCCTCCCTATCCTACCACCACTCCTCCTTCCTCCCTCTTTCCTACCTCCCTTTCTCCCTCAACCATCCCGTCAGTGCAGTTGGGGTATCACCGGGCACCTCCTTAGAAAATCATACATATATATACATATAAATCTATAATACCAACCTA